CACACACACCACCACCACCACCACCACCACAATGCAACACTTCCAGGGGAATTTACAACAGGCATGTTTTTAGCTGCCATCAAAGGAGAGTCCACATCATCACATTGTCTTCCCAACCAAAATACTTCAGCGTGTCTGGGAGTGTCTGCAGAGTTGATGAGTGGAGAGGAACCGGCTGGTGCTGAGTAAGTTTGAATTCCTGCTTGTTTGTCTGCTGMCATTATGGGAAACGTCACTTTTTTCTTCCTCATATATAGTTTGAAGTAAGCTAAAAGTAGGATTGATAGAGTTCGTAATGCAAATTTAACCTGTTGTGAAGATGCTTCATGTTGACCTCTAAGACTTTCTCTGGGTGGAGTCTAATTGAAATGAAACATTATCTCATAATAGTCAAATTAACAGTTTACAATAGAAGGACCCTTAATATTAATAAAACAGGTTTTAGTTAAGATGATAACACTCATTTGCAGCTGAACATGATCACTAAACTAACAAGTTACAGGTAATTGTATTCTAAAAATATAACATTTGATTAAAAGAAAATAAATTACAGCTGAAAATGGGTAAGCTGACTATCTAAATTAACAATAAACATTAAAAGGTGGCTTCACTTTGCTATCTGGCTAGCTCTACTTAGCTATTAAACTACTCAAAATTGTATAATGTTTGTAATCCTAATATACTTCTACACACTTGAATGTTATTTTGCTTTTTGTTCAATTTTAACAGACTGCAAAATGATTTTGTTTAAAACCARTATATTTTAAAAGCTCAAATGCCACATAACTGAGTAAATAGTTTAAATAGTTGGTGCTGTATCGCATATTAGCCTAGCTAATGTAGGAGATGAGCTATTGCACTATGTGGTACCAGCTCTTTACACTATTTACTCAATATAAGATGTTAAGCTAAATTATTACATCGTTACATTGTTTATTAAAAATAAGAAAATAAATGTTAGAAAAATTGTAACAATTTCTGACGTCACTTTTTAAAAAAAAAAAAGGTAAACTATTATGTTAGGACTACAAAGGTACGTTAGGACTGAACTATGACTCAGGACTGAAAAAGACGGGTCCAATGACAGGCCCTGGCACAGTGTGGACAGGAGCCTGCATTGACCATATGAGGTTGGGTTGGTTGCTTTGCTGGCTTCTTTTTCTTGACTCTTCCTTCAGTCGGCGTTGCATCTTTGGTGTGGTGCTGCTAGATCTTTTGGTCACTTGCCCCATTTCCCTGGTGGGAAAAGGAATGTTGCATGCTGACAAATGATACTTGACAAAGTCTTGATATCTAAGCTTTGGACAATATACTCCTCTCTTGTCATGCTGGAGCTCTTCATACAAGACAGCTTTTGGCAGGCCCATCCATTCGATTGGCGTGACGGTCCACCTAAACTGACTCTGAATAAGTACTGCTTCAACACTGGGGATGTTAGCATATTTTCTGACCTCAATGTTGGAGTCCTCATCTTTCCAGTTGACATACGGGATTTGGTTAAGGTGGGACATTTGTGCTCGCCATACAGTACATAGTAATGTATGTTTCAGTTGAGTAGAACCAACATGATCTCTATAGACTAGGGCTGCACAAAATCAGGAAAACCTGCGATGTACGATAACAGTGCTTAATACTGCGATGACGATATGACTTGCGATAAATAAACACACACGAATGTAATGTTGACGTTTTTTGCTCTGGGTTCAGAGCAAAAAAACAAAACAAAACAAAAACAAAAAACTAATAATTTCCATTCCAGCAGGAATTTCTAAAAAATATGAAGAGATCCATCAAATTGAGCAAACACGTGAAGGGCTCCATTTGATTGGTGTAATACTTAAAGCTTCTCTCTGAGTGACAAAATGCAGAAATAGAAACTTTTGAGCCAACCATTTATTGCAGTTTAGACAGTTTTTAGTGATATACATATTGCACAGGCTGTTTTTGAGAAGACGATAAATTCTTTATATTTTGTGCAGCTCTACACTTTGTAAGTGGATGTCATGACATTTTCAGACTTAAAATACTTAAAATAAACTATTTAAGCCATGGAAATAAGTCAAATTCTAATTCTAAAGGTTATCTTTTGTTCCCTTTTTTAAGTGCCACTAAATTTAAACATTTTGGGGAATGTTCTATAACTTGGTCA